AAGCATTTTTCTTCTTTTAAGCTCCCTTTTCCTCAAGGAAACCTGAAGTCTTGCTACGGTGCGGCGTTTACTCTACCTCTGAGGCCCAGAGAGGACAGTGCTCCCTGAAGAGCAAAAATCCAAAATGTACGCTGGCAAAACCAGCACAGCTAAGCCCACCAGCTGAATCTTTGGGCTGCTTTCTTTTCAGTAACGTTTTAACATCGTTGTATAAATGGAGGGTGGAAATACAACAAAATCTTCCAGGCAGTGGGGAAAAGTGTTCCTGGCTCCACAGTTCATTTGTCCATGAAAACAACAATATCCAAAACATCTGCAGGCATCCCCAGGACAGGCTGCCAAAGCACAACGCCCGCCAGGAGATCGCGATCATGTCGTGACTCCAGCGAGAAGCTCCATCTCGGGATAAAGCATTTTAGATGCAGCCTGTGGGAAATGGCTACTGCCATGGCTTACCCCAGTCTGCCTGCTTGACACCCCTCTGTCTGGGGGAATGAGATGGAAATCCAAAGGGCAGAGGAAAAAGACCAGATGCTTCATCCATCTCCAGCACCTCGGTGTGACAAAGACCCATTGTAGAGAGATTTACCTTCAGGAGGAGTTTCCCAAGAGGCCAAGCATACAGACGAAGCTGTGTTGTGCCATCCACAACCAGCAAAGTGATTGAGATCTCCACCTCTCTGAAGGTGACCCTTGGAAGACTTCTGTGCTCCATTCCCACGTATCTACCAGACAGCGACACACATCAAAACGTGCTGAACTTGTACGAAGACGGCTCCTTTTCAGGAAAAATGTGACCTCAGCAAGTTGTAAACATCAGGTATGGACTTCTCATTTTTGGTTGATGTGAACTTGGTGTCTCCCTACGTATCCATTTACTCCCTTGGAGAACAAAATTGAGGGGAGAACTAAGAGGATCACCTTCAGCCTTGTCTTAAATCCCCTTTCCAAAATGCAACATCGCACAAGATTGTACGTGCCAGAGTCCTTCATAGGTTTCTCTCTCCTACCTCACTCCTGGCACTACAGCCAAGACCTTCTGAAGAAAGCACAGCGAGGAACTGACAATTCAAGACTAATAAAAACTCTGGCTAAAACGCTCAGGACAGTGCCCCGTATTTCCAAGGACCAGCACCACACGTCTTGGTACTGTCACAAGGAGGCAGCAAACACCCACAAAAGCCATAAAGCCACTCAGGAAAGAGATTTTTCCCCCTTGCACAACCTCCCCTTGGCAGCACTCGGGGAGGAAGAAGAGGCAGCGCCCGCTTGCTGGGCTGCAGCCCATCACCTGCTGGAAGAGCCCCGGGGGGAGAGCCAAGTAGAGATCTATCTGCTGGAGATCTGCCCTCACATCAGTCACTTTAAAAAAAGATTTTTCTATTCCCCCTCCATACCTTCTCTTGGAAAGCAACAGTGTAAATTGTTTGTAAATTGTAAATATGGATTGTAAAATCCATATTTATGGACGCAGCAGAAAGAAAGAGCTGCGTAGAACGAGAGCCGTGTTGGAAAACGATTTGGAGCGAAAGCCTGAGGTTGGCAGAGACGTGGTCATCCGCCGTGCTCTGCCCTGCTTTCTCCTGACCAGCCTCGGCGATCTCTCTGCCAGCTACGAATATCCACCCATTTCCAAATGGCTTTAAAAATAAACCTTCGCTGCAGGACTTGCTTCTCCTATTCCTCCCATTTCTTTCTCCTCCATAAACAGCCGCCTACCAAGAGCCTCCTTCACCCCTGAACCCCACCGTTCACTCAAGTCTTCTCTCTACACCTCCTCCCACCTCAACCAACGCTTTTTTATCGCTTCTCCTCATCCATCTCTCTGAAAAGCAGGGGACAGAAACGTTCTTGGTTCATAACGCCCCGGCGCAGTCTGCACGCAGTCCCGCAACTGCACGTAACAGCGCGTCCAGCAGCTGCACCTGACCCACCACAGCTGCATTTCCACTTTCCCAAGGCCAGTGATCGCTCCAATATTCCAGCAGTTCAGTCCTTCCACAGAAAAAGAGGAAACCAGAAAACTCCGATGTGAAACCAGACCAGAAAGAAAAATAGTCATGTAGAGAGGTGGAGCACCCCCGGAGAGCTTTACATCCCATGGAAATTTGAATTTGACTCTTCATTTGGGTCAGGTTCTACCCATTGCACCTTTCATTGGCCT